TTTTAAAGCAGTATTTCACAACCCAAACTATACCGTGGTCCGATAAAATAACTAAATTTTCTACAGAGGACCGTTAAAATTATACAGTTAAAGAATGAACAGAATTAATTTCATATCACTAAAATGACAAACAAATGCACACTAAGAAATTATATTTGACGACAGAGACATTATTATAAGAACGTAGCAACTGAAGAAAATCACTGTGAGCGTAGTTTCTTCTCATATTTTTTAATAATTTGAAATGCCTTTTTCCAAAAGTTTTGAAAAAGAAAAGGCCTCTGGTAGTAAACGGTTTTCGGACTGGTAAAACCGCGGACCGATGCCGGTCAGCGGATCAGCGGTTGACAAACACTGTTTCCAGTTCGGGAACTAGATTATGTCCTTCTCTGTTTATTTCACTTTCCTACCCCTCCCAATAGCCTTTTCTTCGTGCAGTTCGTGGCAGATTTACCTGGTTCGCACGCGATACCTCAACTGTCCCTACAATGCAAAACATTACTCTGATAACAGCTGCATATTTTTCGAAGATGTATTGCCACTTAAAACTTCCAAGTCCCTACATTGTGAACATGGTGTTGCATTCTTCCCACAAAGTTGCAACGTCGCCATATTTGTTGGTTGACGACAACAAAACTTATGATAAAGAACAAAGCTGGGGTAAAACTACCTCAAGTTAGAGGTCTGCGCCGGGCTGGGCCTGGTTCATAGCAATTAAACGTTATAAAGAACATTTCTGCTTTCTTAGGCCACTCTTTTTCGCAAAGAATGAGTTATTCGTAATTTCGATCATCCTATGCTCGTGACACAGTCGGGCTCTGGAAACTAATTCCACCGACTTGATTTTCGTCGCTGTCCCGTCCCAGAAATAGTTCGACGAAACACCTCACAAACGTGGCATCCGATATCCTATCTTTGTACTGTTCCTCCATCGCCAAAATAACCTCAGATATTTTTTCGTTACATGATTCATTCTAGGATTACTAGCATTTATGCATTAGAGAACAAACATTTATGATACGACATTAAGTGCAGATTGCAATTGATGGGGCTTTCTTCGGGCTGGAATAAAAATTAGTCGGGATGAGGGGGGTTGCTGGTAACATGTCTGAAGATAAACTTCGGGCTCTGGCTGGGTCTGGTCAAATGGTCCTCGGGACGGGTGTAACTCTAAAGTTTTGGCCTTTGCAGACCTCTGCCTCCAGTGTATGTTATTCTTATGATGTTTCACGATAATCGGTTACTTGATTAAAAATATTAGCTGGGGACAGACATGGGCAGTTACACGGCCATGATGTCACCATAAACTTACATTCGTAATAAAATAACTAATAGTAATTTTCAAACGGCTTCATACAACAGGAAATGGTTATGCTCGTGTAGAGGGCTTGTGTATAAGTTTTAACAAATTTTTCTGTACAGAATGTGCCATTGAAACAATTATAGACCTTATAAAACTGGGGAATTTTTTCTTACTAAGGTGGTAGCAGTTCGGGTGTAAGCTCAACACAGTGACACTTCCCCTTCCTTCCAAATACGTCTGAAGCCTGGTCTTGCATTTGTTTGTTTTCCCTGCTACTTAGATACCGGATGATGCTATTTGTTGCATTTCATTCCATCCCACATCCAGAGTTCACAGCAAGTCATCACTTTATTATAGTTTGGACTACCAAGAGTTGGTCCTCTCGCCTCAGATCGCGACTTCCTTCGTCACTTATTACCGCGGCCATTTGTACTTCCAGCAACTCAACAGCGACACTGCGTAGTAACCTGTGGCCCGTTGGTCGCATTTGGATTTGGCCCACAAACCCCCATTTCGGATATTTTTAAAGGGCCTACCGTTCTGCTTCTGGCTTTATACTACAGTTCTGCGGAATGAAAATTCAGATCTCTCACCCGTCTTCTAAAATGTTACAAAAGCTGCCTTACGTGAAACAACGTTTTTCAGCTTTGCAGACAAACAAATGCACTTAAACCACTGTGTGAAGACACGCATTCTTGCGGGGTAATATTGAAAATAATTCAAAACTATATCTGGGGGGGGGGGGAGATATATTAAAAACATTTACAAATTTACTTTAGATCTCCTCTTGCAACATCGAAGCAACACACTTGTGACATACTGAAAGACTTTTAGTCACCACAGTGATACGCGAGTGATTAGGTTCAAAGTATCTTGTATATATAAAGTCGGGCAAATTAATTCTTATAATTAATTTAAATAACATACACTGGTAATTACAAAGAATCATCAGCATCACGAATTAGGCTATCGCCTTCTCCAGTTAAAAATATCAGAGCTAATTGTTCCTTCTGACATTTCCCTCCATGTCTCTGCAATAACAGACTAAGCGTAATTTACACTAATGGGTACCAAAGATACAATTTCGCCCACAATAAGCTTCGTATTTTGAAATGTGGCCCGCGGTCTGAAAAAGCTGCTATATCTGCTGTAGAAAGCGGACGCTTGGTTCAGAAAGTAGCCTATTTGTCGACTCTATATCAACTACGGAATATTAAATAGGATGATTAAGTATGGTGGACTGAAAGGGATTGTGATTTGTATATTCTTTTAAGGCAAAGTGAGCCTACTATAATGACGTTTACCTGGAGATAGTGACAAAAAGCACGGAAACCTCATGACGGTAACCCACCCTTGCATATAAGATTCCATTCAGACACTAGACTATTCCTTTTATTTGTCTATTATTGTTTCTGAAGTTTCGCTCTACGATCCCTCAACAATCTACTACCTACTTAGCCAATCAAATCTGTGATAAAAGATTCTTCAGAAATTAACAGTAACTCGGCTAGTCAAGAATAATTTTTGACAGAAGGGAAGGAAGACAAAATCGAGAGATAACCAGACAACAAATATTTTGTACGTGTTTGCTTAGTCTGTGTAAGTTTCATTTAAATTCGCGGACCTGTTCGTTTTTGCAATCTTTTTAAAATGCCACCAGGTATGTATATTTCTAAATGAATTGGCATATTATACTGTAAAAGGATTTGCGCATTATTTTCCACATATAATGAAAATCAGTAAATTGGTTCACGTTTTCCTGCTGGGAAGGATGAAAAGTCACATAAACACACGGGCATTCACCCACAAGATAAGCCTACTGCCTACTGTTCCTTTCAGAAAGCAGCTTGAAAATTAGAAGCTACGAGATATTTCGACATAGAACAGCACACAATACCCAGTTACGCGGGTCAGGCAGCGAAGAAAGTTATTTCCGTGCGTGATGGGTACATTTGCAACTTCCGCCAGTTAGCGACCACGTAGAACCTTTCCAAGCACACCGACAGATGGCACCACTCACTGCATCGCTATTACGTTCATGTGCAAAGATTTTTCGAGCCAAATGTTCTCCTGAACGAAAAATCCTCAAAGGAAGTAAATTATTACTACGTTTAGAACAAGTTTCACAAAAGATTGCTGGAATTGCTGTCCTTGTCTCAGGTATTTTAAACTCCGCACAAAAACATTTGAATTTAATAATATAATCGAAAAAACAAAAGAGGTATGTAGCTTTTATGCATTACGTCTTTTAAATGTGGCGTATATCTAACACAATGCAACAACAAACAGTTCTGCAAAGAATGCCTATCTTACTTCAAATTCTTAAACTGAATCTTTCGATTTGTGTGCAAAAGTTCCACTAATACGGCTTTCCATTCCGTTAAACGTGACAGATATGTCCCCAAAATTTCCCACCGTCGCCACATAAAAAATCGTGGTTTGCTTTTGCTTCCAATTCCAAAGTGTTAAGCTATCATCAGCTAAAACCAATTTTTCAGGACAAGTGACTTGAAAAATCGCGCTTGACAAGGACAAGAGATCTCTGAAAGAACTTTCTTTCGTAGCAGTTCGCTCTCTCGCCACCAAACACTCTCGGTAGATAGCGCCACGAGATACATCGAAACTAGGTGGATAGCGCCACGAGCCAGACAGTAGATCGCCTTCGATAGCTCGCTCAACCAACCACCGCCTTCTTTTAAAAATGCCAATATGGGTATAGTCACAGTACAGATAACCTGTAATAGAATATTAAATTTGTTTCCACAAACAGGGGCTAGATTTTGTTTCGAACAGGGGAGAAGAAATACTAACTTTTGTTATGAAGATATTCCAATAAGATGTAATGCTAGAAAGAGAAGCATTTCTCCATAACATTTTTTTTTCTACATTGCTACGTTGCATAATTAAAATTGTTGATAAGGATTGAACCTACAAACATCTCTGGTTCGAACCTTCCTGCATCACAACCTAGTAACTAAATTGCAATTGTCTTATGAAACTAAAAATAACTGGTAATCCATTTTAAGTATTATTCATTTACTTTTTTTACTTCACATTTCCTATAACGGATTTTGACTGTCTTAAGCTATTTTAACGGATAATTTACGTAACTTTCACTAAAGCCATCCCCTTTTTACAACTGGAAAGTAAGTCAAATCAAATAAACAGGTGAATTTAGTGACTACTGTAGCAAAGTGGTTAACACTCTTGTTACGTATTTGGAAGATCCAGTTTCAAATCTTAAACTCGCAAATGGCAATTCTGACTGTGATTTTCTGTGATTTCCCTTGGTACCTCGAGGAAAATGCTAGAACAATATCTAGAATCAGGCCATATCTCCGCAATTTATCATTCATTAATTAACCCATAATTTGACTCTATATTGACAGAATCATTAAATAGGCAACATCACTGTAACTTTTTTAGTACTGATAATGTTAAAAGTGAAATGCTGTAACTACTCACCCTAGGCAGAATTCCAACTCTTCAGGTTAGAAAAACATAATTTTCAACAACTTTTCCTCTACTTTTCTCCACGTTTTGCCAAATAGCCAAATTCTCCCGTGGTCGAGGATTTCAGGGACATTCTGCATTTAGGCAGCAGGTGGCATCATGCTTACATAAATCATGTCTTTGCCATTAATTTCTGTACCCTGCTACAGAGTGCCAACCCTCATCTGAAAATTCAAGTTCCTACCTTTGCTGCTGTCTGGGGCGAGACACTCTGTCTTGATGGTGGTGCGTCCGCCATTGAATGGCGGCGTTGTGACTGCTGCAGGCGTAGCAGCCGAAGATGCCAGTGGTGGGGGCGCAGCAAGTTTCTCTGAAATGTTTAAATTTACGTGATGAGGCATGACTAAAGTTTGGAAAATGTCTTGTATTATCTCACTTGCCATTAATCTTAAAATTAAATGATTAAATGAATTAATTTCCTTGATGCCACTGATGATGACCTCTTGAGGTTTAAACGCGTATGGCACTAGTGTCTTTCTATAGTGTTAATAGTTGTTTGTTTACTTATTTTATATTCACTCGCCATTAGACACAAATTCTGACGTCTGTTTCACAAGAGCACGAATAAATTTCCTTTTTTCTTATATTTTATAAGTGGTCTATTATTTTCTCTAATGATTTAAATAATCATGTACGCAAAATATAAATAAGTTACTTAAATTCATCACCATGTTAATTCAGCGCAGTGACCATATTACTCTGAAAATGAGACTGATGGAGAGGGAGAAAATGTCTAGAAACTTTCTGATCGCACCTCGTAGAACACACTGAAGAATAATTTATACCTAGTTCTTAATGAAGTGTGATGCACTTCATTAAGAACTAGGTACAAATTAGACATATGGGGAAGTCAGGTTATATGCTCCAAACGTCTTTAATATCTGCGCTATAAAGATTCATTATTATAATTATCATCATTAAAAGATTACAGACCAGGCGGACAGATACTGGTTTTTCATCATGGAGATCCAGGTTCAATGCCATGTGACTTTGGGTGAGATTCAAGATAGAGCTGACTTTTCTCCGAGTTATTTGGTTTCCCAACTCTAATCATCGGCATAGCTCTCAGGGTCATGGGGATACGTAAATTCCACCACCCACGTTAAGGTCCTGTACTCCCTAGGTGGAGGTGAAACCAACCCCTCTAGGGGAGTAAACCCCAAAATCAAATCTAGGAGGCTGGGAGCTAATTACCCCCAACTCTGAAATAAACTGATTCAGAAACCTAAATGTGATGGCCGGACGGATCCTGTAAGATGACCTGGCAAAAGAAGTTGGATTGTGTCGAGAAGGATTTGGAGGAGTTAGGAGTACGGAGATGGAGGAAGAGAGCTGAAGATAGGGGCAAATGGGCTATCATATTGAAGGAGGCACTGGCTAAACTTTGGGAGCTGTATGCCCAAGAAGAAGAAGAAGAATCATTACATCACTGCTCCAAACTCATCTACCACCGCCCCATGAGGAGTGTGATACTCCTCATAGGACGGCACAGAATCATACCCTTCGTCCTATGTCAAGGGCTTCATTCCTGACCCAGCACTTGCTTGGTCTCGGAGTAACGGTGGGGGAACAAAATGCTACTTACGCAAAGGTACATTTTCTTTTGAATACTTTTCAGAATTACATGACTACAAAACATCCATGTTCAGAGAATGATAAAATGAGAAGCTGGTGGTAGCATAGCTACTGGTGGGGTCTCCCTAGGGAGAGGTCAGACTAAGACAGGTACCCTGGTCCTCCAGGTTGGGGGTTGGTCGCAAGGCTAACAACCTTGCACCGTAAAAAGGAAGATGTTTCGAAACCTTAATCAAAGCCTCGGACACAGACCTAACAGAGGACCGAATGGAAGAGGAGAATTGAGGAGGCCATGGACCGAATATGGACCGGAGAGCCATAGAAGAAAAAGAAAAGTGATATCAGTGTTTAAACTGATATCACATATTAACTGAATACTCGGTTAACAAAGACGCCATCTAACCTGCGAGCAAAGGGTTGGCTGCTGCAATGGTGAACTTCTTGGTGCGGGAGTCTTGCAATGAAATGGCACTTTTCACAGGAGCAGTGCTGCTTGTGACGACATTTGACGCTGCTCCTCCTCCCCCTCCAGGTGACACCACGTTGTTGTTATTTTCCTCCTGCAAATTGACAACAGCACTGTTACAGACAGGAAGGGATGGCTCTGCGTGGCCAAGCAATATCAGTAATCCATCACAAACCAATTTCAAAAATGAAAACCAGTTTACTCAATGCCATCGTTTCTCGCAAAGTTAAATATTTGTTTGACGCACACTCAGTTTTCACAAAAGATGAATTTTAAAGAGACTTTAGGAATTTGAGGCCAAAATTGGTCAACAAGTGGCCTAACTCCTTGAGTACTTGTTGATAATGACTTCCAGTTATCAATGGCTTCAAAGATAGGGATTTATTATCCAAAATGATTTTTTAATTTTGATTCAAAATATCTGGAAACAGAAAAATCAAAGGGAACCTGAAGGGATCAAGACTCACCAAATTGCGGTGATTAAATGAGTTACCTATCAGAAATCAACAGCTATTTTTCTGTTCAAACTTCTTACGTTAACATAAAGTATGTTCACATCTACAGCACCGAGAGGATTGCGTGCCTTCAGTCCCCATATAGGTAGTAATTACCTTATCCTCAAAGTCGGTAAAGAAGTTATCCAGTTCGAATGTGGACTCCCCGAGTTGCTTAAACAGATCCTCCTCCGTGTCTTCGTCCAGGCTAGATACCAGGCCCGTGAGGTCCGACTGCGAGAGTTCACCCAGCCCCGGACCTCCCGTGTGTTGCTGCTGCTGAGCTCCGCTGGCTGCCTCCTGCTGTAAGAACACATTGCAGCTCAATTTAATCCACGACAAAGGATATTTTGACAGCGTGGTCAAATCTCTCCTGATGGGAAGTCCAGGTAATGAAATGATCTATTGCGGATGCAAATATAGTAAGAAATTATGCAAAGAACTTTTAACTAATTTTTAAAATGTTTCAATATTAATTTTTTTTGAGGAGCTATTATCACAAAATATTTCGGAACCCCACATTACATGCCACTAATGCACCTCACAAATTCATACCAACGACAAGCTGTTAATAATCAGTACAGATCTCTGCCCAGAGACTGGGTATCCTAACCGAGATCCTTCATATCCTTTCCACTTCATTATTCATTAATCAGCCATCTGATATGTTTAAGATACTAGAAGAAAATATAATCTGAAGATGGTGGCGACACGTTCCATCTACAAGTCACAAGGCTACACAGCGCTACAACCCCGAAAATCATGGAACTGTAAGATAACGTGTCTTACCAAACACTGCGTTAGGTCGACCATCTTGCCATCATTGTCGGGGCACCACAGCAGGTCGTCGTCGATGAAAGGCATGCTGCAGAAGGCTTGGCCGGCTTGAAGCACGGGCTGAGGCCTTACCAGCTGAGTGTGTGCCAGCGTGCCTGCCTGCCTATGCGTCCTCTAATCTACCTGACACTGCCCCTCTGCGGCTCTAAAAGCGACCTGAAACATCATGACAATTTCTGTGAACAACGAAATTTTTGTTAAATCGTTCAATATCGGGCAAAAAATCTTAATGAGAAACAAATTTAAGCTCTTAATCAATTAAAACCATTCACCTGACTTTGTAAAACCGATTCAAACTTACCTTGCAATATCACGGTGCTTCTGAAACTTGATCCAAAACATGAACAACGGCTCTTTGGGACTCCCTGAAAAGAAAAGAAAAAATAAAACGCATCAATCACAGATTCGAGCAGCAGCTAAAGAAACCTTATTTATGGTGTTGGAAAAAATACTTTTTTTTTTTTTTTTTTTTTTTGGCTTGGAAGGCAATACAAATTTACGTGCATTGCTTCAGGTGGCTCAAGATAGGACCCCACAGCGGACTTAAAAACAGGAATAAAACATCTTATTCCATAAACGCAATGAATTTCTTGACCAACAGAGCAACCATCAGCTTCCAGAAGGAAGACTGTGGAGTTGGTCACGATCAGAACAGTGTACTGTCGTCTTATCCCGTACCTCTATTTCCTAGTCAGGATACGCATTGCTAAATGTTCCACCATGTTCTCAAATGGCGTGGACATCGGCCTAGCAACAAGGATGATCTCGGCTCGAGTGTCACGAGAGAATCTATTACATGCGGATGACCTAATTTTGATTTCCTTTTTGTACTGCAGTACGTGACTGCTGTTGGGTTTCGTTTTAAACGGTACGCCCTTTCGTTACTATCGGCTAGTCTTCATAAAACCGATCGATCATAAGGTCTATTAAGCATCCGTTCACTAAGACAAAATAAATCACTACATCACAAGAAGGAAAATGACATTTTTACACATGTTTCGAAGAAGACTGATATTGCGTCTGTAAAAAGTAGGCCACTGCTGGTTCGAACACGGATGCAGTGCAGTAGACATGTATCGAACGACACCTGCAATTAACTGCGTTAAACTACACATAGAGACGCAGAGGAAACTACAGGTAGCCCTCGATTTACGCCGGGGATGCGTTCCTGGACGAACCGGCGTAAACGGAATCGGCGTAAATTGAAACTCTTTTATAATGTAAATGAATGGGAAGTTAATGACATGCGTTCCCAGCAACCAAACATTGACGAGTAATACAGGGTGATTCAAAAAGGACTTTACAACTTTGAAAGTGTATAGAAATTTATTCAGAAGGCTTACAGAATCGGTTGAGGTGTCATTTTGTAGCAAAACAAATCAAGTTGTAAAGTCCTTTTTGAATCACCTGGTATAATGGCATTACATATAAAGCTCTGAAATAACGTAAATAAAATAAAGGGAATTTAAAAAATATATTTTATACACTTACAATCGGCAATTCGTTGGTCCCCGCGATTGACTGCGATTCTTTCATGTGATTGATGTGTACAGTCATCTCTGCTGTTATGCGATAGTTGCATTCATGTAAGACGCCGACCTATAGAATATCGCGTAATAAAAATATCCTCGGTACCTCCGCAGAGATTAAATTAGCCGTTTGAAAGTTTAAAGCGCCAGGAATGAAATTGCATAACAGCAAACTCGCATATGCAAAAGTTTGCATTTCACAAACACCTTTACCGATTCATCGATCTCATTGGAGCAAATTCGCGTTAACGAAACATACGTAATTGCAGAGCTGACTGTATTTATAATTTTTATTCAAAATCAGCGATGTAAGAATTACAATTTAGTATAAGAATCAGTACGAGAAACATTGTAAAACGTTATAAATAATAGTAAAATATTTTGTTTTCACTTTTTGACTTGTTTTTTTCAAAATCGGCGTTATTCTGAATCGGCGCAAATCGAGGGCTACCTGTAAGTGTATGTTCATGTCTCGCCACCAGATACAGGGCAAAATAATTACATTAAGGTAGCTAACAAATCCTTTGAAAATATAATGAAGTTCAACTACTTGGGAACAACGGTAACAAACATTTTATTCAAGAGCAAATGAAAGCAGTTTATATTCAAGGAATGCTTGCTACTATACAGTTCAGAATAGTTTGTACTCTCGTTTATCCAAGAACGTAAAAATAAAAAAAATCACATAATTATCATTTTAACTGATGTTTTGTAAGGGCGTGACAACTGGTTTCTTGTGGCGAGGGAAGAATACCAATTTGAAGGTATTAGAGAACAGGGTGCTTAGGAAAATATTTGGTCCTAAGAAATGTGGTGGAACAGGAAGGGGGAGAACAAAGCATAATGAGGAGCTCCATAATTTATACTCTTCACAAATTTTTTAGGATGATAAAATCAAGGATAATTAGATAGACGGGCAACGTAGCATGCAAGGGAGATAAGAAATGCATACAAAATTTTAATTGGCAAACCTGACCGGAAGAGAATACTCTGGAAAACTAGGCATAGATAGGAGAATAATATTAAAATTGATCTTAAGGAAACATGGATGAAGGTTGTGGATTAGATTCATCCGGCGCATAGCAAGGACCAGTGATGGGCTCTAGTGAAAACGGTATTGAAACTTCGGGTTCCGCAAGGAACGGAATAGTTGTGCGTACTATTAGCTTCTCGAGAAGGACTCTGCTCCATGGTTTTCAAGAAGCATTCAAACAAGGCATTATATTAATTGCATTCATTATATTTATTTATTACGCTCTGTGGCCTATCCCAGTTCGGAAGTAGGCGTAGCTTCTGCAACTGCGAAACTTTCATACATTTGGTAGGACTTCTTGTAGAAATTAAGAGAGAAAATGGATTACTGAGAATGAGCTACAGAAGGAAGGAAGTAAAAAGGTGTGGTAGAAAAGGAACAATGATGATGATGACGACAATAATGACGCGTTGGATAGGGAACCTGCCCATCGCAAGGACAGCACAATACAGTAAAACGCGCCTTGTCTGGATTTGACGCCGCCAGCTCAGTGTCCTACTCAAACCGTCCACACATTACGACTAGGACTTATTTTCATGCAGACAGTCTAATTATCAGCATTCTGCAGTGGACTGCACGGTTTCACTTTTCGATACTAATGACCAACTTTCTTTGAACCCACTGGTGTGTTTACTCAAGAGAGAAAGTTCCGAAACACACACACACTTACTACTAATTTCTTGTTATACCGAACGTTCTTTCAACAAATTTTGGGTTTAATAATAAAAAACAGTCCAAGCCGTGCTTATGTTACCAGCCCTGTTCACAATTCCTACTATTGCTTACACTTTTAGTTTCCGTTGTGCTGGCCAGATTTGTTCATGCTACAAATATAATGTCCACCAACATCACTATAATAAACAGACATTTGAGTACTGTACTGTACTGCATATATTGTGTTAGGTCACTGTATCACAAATCTTCGCTTTTAAATTAATGGGGAAGTAATTTTCGCTGAACGAATTTCTGTTTAACAAACTACTTTCATAAAACATGGGGTTAACATCATATGGTCTGCCAATAATTTCGTAGGTTACGCTAAGCAGCTATCTGCCAGAATCCTCAAACGAAAAAAAAGTTGACTTGACATCTATCAACAACATCTGAAGTTATTTAGTTTCTATCATCGAATGTGAATTAGTTCATAAAAAATCTGGTTGCTTTCTTTAGCTTGGTGACTTATTTTTGAGGATGCGACATTTCAGGTTCTCACGGCGGCGATTATGAAGGTGGTGGTCTTCTGGGTTGCTGATCGCCCTGATGATGGAGACAGCAAGTGCCTCTAAAACGTCAAAAAACGTTTACAGGACTACATGGCCCAACAACCCAGAAGACAACCGTCCTCATATTTTTTTAGGATAATTTCCGCCAATACATGTTCCTAGTTCTTGAAATATTACGAGGTAACAAATAATTCGCACCGTCACCATATTTCAAATTTCTATCTAATCAGAAACTTTCAGACCATATTTGTACATATGTTTATCGCTCATTTGCATACAGCGTAGTATGTTTAACCGTAATTGTTTTCCACTCATCACTTGGGAGCAGAATGGTAAATAAAGAATTAGAGCAGCCACCATGTTGCCTTTAAAATTCTACACAAAGATTAAATACCTCAACAAAACCAGAACATTTAACAATTAACATTATGTATTTACGTGAATGGTCCCGCGCGGTCTGAGGCATCATGCTTCGGACCGGCGATACGGAATGCGCGCTGGTTCGAGTCTCGGGGAAAGAAATTTCTCATGAGCTTTCGACCAGTGTATGGGACCGGTGCCAACCCAGCATCGTGAGAAAATTGGGGAGCTACAATAAGTAGCGTAATCCGGTCATGAAAACTAGCAATGGCTGGGGATTCGTCGTGCTGACCACACGTCACTCTATATCTGGTTGGATGATCGTTCACCTCTGCTTAGGCATGTGAACGTGAGGCCAGCAGCCAGCTAGTCGGCTTTGGCTCTCAGAGGGCTGTTACGCCACGGATTTATTTATTTTATTTACGTGAATAATTTCCGCAATTCCCATTAGGTTACATTTGTCAGAAACAATCTCAAAGTTTTGTAAACTTGCCATAACCATGTCTGTAATCCCTAACATCTAAAAGAATATATCATACAAAATTTGCATTATTGTGATATAGTATCTGGGTTCAAAATTTCACGTTCCTAGCTAAAATGGTTAATTGGTTCATTAGTTTTCGCCATGAAACCAAAGATTTCGCAACCTCATGTTTTATATCTCACATTTTGTTATCACCTCTAGTAGGATATTCAAAAGTACGATTTTGAAGTCATCTAGAATTACACAGACTCCACACAAAATTTCATCCCAATCTATTTAGTGGTTCTCAAGTATAATCAACTGGTCAGACGGACTACCAGTCCAAAAGGCGTTCTCCCTGTGCACTTCGTGCAAGGATCGCATAAGGAAAGTTGAATGAAAGATAATTTCGTCCTAAAATAATTTGTACGTTTGCGTTTGATAATATTTCCTCTTTTTTACCGTTGGTACCGCAGTACGACAGTTGGCGCCAAACAGCAAGCGGAGTATTCAGGAACTATGCTGCGGTAAATTTACGTATGTTGGTTACAATGTTGAGATCGATTCTTTCCTACATGGTTCGTAGTGTTCATTGGTATATCACGCACGTTGAAAACAAAAAAGCCATATTATGGGCGACAAAAGTGAGGAAGAAGAAGAATCGCTAGATTTTACGTCACCAAAATTTGATCCCCTGAAAGCTTTATATTCTAAAAATGTTCGTCTTCCGATTCCCAACGCACCAGTTCTTGATAATATACATAAATACCGCTCATCTTTAAACCCTCGTGAGAAAAAGCGATCAGAAAAGGTATGTAATAGAAGCTGGAGGTTAACGACTGATTGTGCAGGTGTTCTGAAGAAAATATTCATGGCACAAATGGTTAAAGAATTCTAATGTCGTTTCTTTGTATATATATTAATATGTGATATAAGCAGGGCACCGTTGCCATGAACTGAAGAATGAGCCAGACAGTAGCATTCGGATAACAATTTTCACAGTGTATGTGCAGTAGTGCCGTAGAATTTAAAGGTTAGGACTTATGTAGCGTGAAGGCAGTACGAAATAAAAATATGTAACCTGGAAAATTTAACCTAAAAGATGTCTGAAATATGTAATGGTATTGTGAATTTCAGCTTGGGATTGGGTTAAGGTTTTGTTTTTTACCACGTATATATAAATAACATTTCTGTTGTTGAAACAGAAATAATGCAGTTAATTGCAGACATGCAGCATTAGGATTCATATGTACAATTTCGAAGTTGTCATTGTTTACATATTATGCTGTTCATTGTACTTATGTTACTATAATATTAGATCATGACCTCTGTGCGTTTTTTCATCAATATATCTGTCTTATTACAACTTTTGTCTTTATTTTAAAATGGCTGAGAGTGGTGTTGTTTGTAATATAAATGTGTATTTGTCACAGTTAAGAAATATTTAGCCGAACTATAGCTATGAATTTGTGGTCAGTGCGATTAAGCACCACACCATGAAGATATTTGGGAAGTTGTAAAGCTCTGCACATTACAAACATCAGCAATGGATGGGAATGATCAGTTTCATGCTCTGGCTGCTTTATTCCCCAGGAGATATCCCCAGCTACCAATTATATGAAAGACTAATTTCTGTAATAAGATGCATTTTGTTAATTGTACAAATAAAAGGGGGTTATGACTTAAGCTTAGTTCTGATAGATGATATTGATTGTTTGGGGCAGTATAGTTTTCTGGTAAAGTTATCACTGTGTTTAATTAAACACAACAAGAGGACATGGGGGAGGAAAAGTGTGCATAGATGCATTCTTAAATATGACACTAGGTGGAGGTAAGTAAACAGTATCACACCTCAGCTTGTTTACCCCTGGGTAATGGTCCCTTGGTACCCATTGGATAAGAGACTAGACTTGCCCCAGAGCCATTCTGGTCATGATAACTCAGAGAGGAATACCTTCCTCTGGATAACCAGCTTGTAGCAGTCACTATACTGCCATAAAGAAAATGCAGAAGTTCTCTTACAGACCAGCAAAGAAATCCATGCAGATATAAATACAGATAACAGCAAATACATGAACAAGACAACCAACAACAAATTATTATATGAAGATTTCCGTCTTCTGGGTTGTTGCGCTGTGTAGTCTGGTCGATGTTAACCAACATTTCAGAGGCCATACTGCCTCCGTCATCAGGGCGATGAATATTCAGGAGGCAGTATGACCTCTGAAACGTTGGTTAACATCGACCAGACTACACAGCTCAACAACCCAGAAGACGGAAATCTTTATACTCACCGCTATGAAAACCTCAAATCTTACAAATTATTATATCACATAATACTTTAATAGAAATAATGCAATAAAATAATGGATACACTAAACAGTGATTTGGACAGTTTTTTGTAAGAATATGAAATGTGACCTCTTAATTACTCTGAAGAAAATATGTAGTGTTTGAAAACCAAGTACTTAAGAAAGATGGAGTGAGAAATTTGGGTTTAACACATATTGAACAACTTTGTCAGATAAGTAATGTAATAATACTGTTAGGTGGTATGAAGGAATTGTTGACAATTGGCTACTCTGAAGATGGAGGAGATAAAGGATTGTGTTCCATGGCAGCAGGCTTTGGTAGTACTGGTTAACATTCTATGTTCTAGCATGGTAGTGTTGAATAGAGTTCTGTTCTGCCACCATACAAAGAAGAATTTTGCTGATGATTTCTGGTGTGAACTGCCTGAATAAGTGTTCAGAGTCAAAATGAACAGAGCACAGTTACATGAAATTAGGTTTTTATCATATGTTGTCATAAAAATAAAATGCTGGGATATTGGATATTGCATCTATCATTTGAATACTACATTCTAACATTACTCTCAGTGTTTGTCAAATTTATCACCAGAAAGGAAGCATATTCTTTCCAGTATCAGGTACACTTGTATAAAATGTCTGCAACATAATTACATTTACCTTTCTAATTTTATACCACAGTGAACTGCCCTATTGTATCATTCTTTATTTTCCAGTTGTTCTTCATTTGCTTTTAGTTCTGATATTGAATGCTGCCATTAATTATTGAAATCAGAAGGGTTCCATGACAAAGTTTGAGAAACACTGGATTAGTAAACAGGGCATTGCCAACCTTCTGTCATCCCATGGAAGTAGTTTGTACTTGAAGATCATTGTTTTCTAGGATGTTGCACCATGCAGTCCGATAGAAATTGACTGCCCTGATGTTGGAGGCAGTAAGCACCTCTCAAATGGCAATCAGTTCCTATGAGACCACATTGTTCAGTATCCTTGAAGACACATCATCGTCATACTTTGTGCTGTGAGAATCTGAAATGTCACATTCTGTACATTCAGTGGCACCATTGATAATGTAAGTGATGACCTCAACACTGCAGTTAGAACTTGGCTCGTCTCCACTCAATTTTTTTTAATTAGAAAATTATCTTAATGATCACATGCAAATGACATTTTCTTTTCTTGGTAATTCTCAAAGTGGCAAGTGGAAATGAATAATAATTGACACATACTTTTTAATTGTGTAGCACTTTAGCAAGTTTTGGCTTGGAGATGAAGAAGAAACTAGTGAAGTGTTACGTATGGAGTGTCGCGCTGTATGGAGCAGAGACTTGGACACTCAGGAAGAAGGAACAAAAATACCTGGAGTTTTGAAATGTGGTGTTGGAGAAGAATAGAGAAGATCAGGTGGACAGATCGAGTGACCAACGAAGAAGTATTGAGG